GGTTTCCTTTGCTGAGCAGAAGCTGTTTAGTTTGATGTAGTCCCACTTTTGTTGTATGTGCTTTGGCTGTCATATACAAGAAATCATTGCCAAGACCAATGTAAAGAAATTTTTCCCCTATGTTTTCCTCTATGAGTTTTATGGTTTCAGAACTTAATTTAAATCTTTAATCCATTTTTAGTTTATTTTTGTGAGTGGTGTAAGATAGGGCTCCAATTTCATTCTTTTGCGTCTGGAGGAGGTTATGCTAAGTGAAATAAGCCAGTCAGAGAAAGACAGATACTGCATGATTTCACTTCTATGAGGTACCTACAATAGTCAAATTCCTAGGAGCAGAGAATAGAATGATGGTCACCAGGGGCTGGGGAAGGGGGAAATGGGGAGTTGTTGTTCAACTGGTATAAAGTTTCAGTTACACAAGATAAATTAGTTTTAGAGATGCTGTACAGTATAGTGCCTAAAGTCAACAATATTGTATTATACACTTAAAATTTTGCTAAGAGGGTAGATCTCATATTAAGTGTTCTTACCACAAAAAAATAAAAAAACAAAGGGACAGAAGGAAACTTTTGGAGGTGATAGCTATGTCTATTACTTTGACTGTTGTGATGGTTTCACAGGTGTATGCGTACATCCAAACTCATCAAATTGTTTACATTAAATATGTGCAGGTTTTTGTATATCAATTATACCTCAATCAAGCTGATAAATAAATAAGCTAAATGTGATATGCAAGGGCTTCTCCTTGGCAAATAGGAGTCTTGTGACACCTCCACCAAGGCTGAGGGCTGATCTCTATCTTGAGGAAAAGTTGCATCCATTCTGAACCCCCAAAGGCTTTTTCCCTGGCAAATAGTAAACCATGATTACCCTGAATTTCACCTCTGACTTACCCTTTTACCACATTCATATTGTCTTATTGACAGTAAATAATCTCATCAAGATGGAACTTTATCCCCTAGAAAGGCTCTCTGTCCACATCAGGTGTAAGAAACCTGTTCACCAAGATCTCCTGCACCTGGCTTCTGATCATGTCTTCCAGTTCGCCTGTAGGTGTTGAGGCCCCTCCTTCAAGCCCTTAATGTCTGCAACTATCATGCAAAGGCTGTCAGTCAAAGAGTATATTTCTTGTATTTTCTCCCTCACCACTGTTGAATTACATGAAACTCACTATACTCTGACTCCAAACCCTCATTGAAATAGCAATTACAGTTGTCACCTGATCAGCCTGGGTCCAATAAGGAGACAGAAACCACACAATGATTTAAACGGAAGTTTAATATACAGAATTGTTAAATTTTTAGAAGAGTAACTATACAATATTTTAAAACTCTGTATGGTACCCTAACACTGGGGGAAAGTATCTAAGGACTGACTTGGAAGGGGTACCCTCTCCCCAAGGCTGGGTTTCAGACTTTATGAAGGAAGGGTAGCTGCAGCCTCCTGGATGGCAGAGAAGTCTCTGTTTTGCCTGAGTCAGAGCTGGTCCTTGGTTGCTGGTCAGGCAGGAAGCAACATTCTAGGATGTAGGTGGTTTGTAGGCAGGCTCACTGGTGGCGGGATGCTTGGGCATGCAGAAGGGAGAGGGGTGCCGATGGCATCCACTTGGGGAACAGATGAGCCACAGCCCGTGGCCAGGTACACGGATGTGCAGAGGGAATGGGTGTGCCTGTGTGCATAGGAGGCCTGGAGTCCACACAGGGTCCATGTCCAGAGGTCCACGGGAATGTGATCAACAGGCCAGAGCCATGAGATCACCAAGGACTGTGCATTCTGGGCATGTAGCTAATGCAGAGAATGACCAGATATTCTCACACCCACACTGACGACTGTGTGTGAACAGCAGGAGATCCCTTCCTCCTGCAATCTCCTTCCAACACCCTCTACTGAGAAAGCTTAACATTGTGTTTACCGCAGAGGAGAATGCTCCAAGGAATTTCTTTCATTCTCATAGAATACATATTGAAGGGTGAATTTGGAGCTGAAAGGCAATAAATTGGTAACTGGCACATTGCCCCTAGACTTAACCACAATCATTGCCACTCTTGAAGTCCCAGTTCCTGGTCAGGACCTCAGTAAACTTTAGGTTACATAGAAAGCATACAGGATAAGGTTCAGCAAGCCAAGGATTGGCCCAAGACATAGCATGATCAGCAAAGAGACACAGGAAGGCCATCCAGTGAGACGATAGCTGAGTCTCCTACTGGTCCATTTGCAGTAATTACCCACGCAAGGAGCTAGGCTGTAGCAACCACCTCGAGATAGCTCAAGCCCATTGCCTTCCATCTCTGGCAGCCGCTTTCTAAAGCAAAACCTCACAGTCTTCCACCATTACATCCTTTCTCCACCCAACCCACCCTCCCCCCCACGAGCTCTAGTGGCAGCCCATTATGAAAAAAGTGGAAGTGTAGAGTGGTGGAGGGCGATGGTTCCCAGTGCTGCTCTGCGCTCAGAAAATCTTGTGTATCAGTCAGGGATCTTACTTGATCTTTTATGACTTGATTTTTTTCTTCAAGCAGTACGTGAAAATTTTTATCGGTCTAGATCATTTTTAATGGTGCTACATTATTCCATTATATGCAGATGCCATGATTTACTCAATCTCTCTTTCATGGACCTTTAGATTGTTTACAATTTTTATTATTGCAAATATTCTTGGAAGTTGTTCCTCTCTGAAACCATCTTTTCCCACTTGTGCAATTACGTCCTAAAGATAAATTCTGAGAAGTAGGATTAGTGGTTCAAACACAAGGCTCATTATAACCTTTGATACATATACACAAAATCCTCTCCACAAATGTTGTGTCTTTTTTTTCCCCATCAACTTATATAAGAATGCTGATATTTTCCACTCCCTTGCTGACACTGAGTTTTGTTAATCTTTCATTATTGCCCACCAGGATCAGTAAGAAAGTGAGACTTCAGGGATGGTTTTATTTGCATTTGAATGGCTGTTCTGTATACAAGCCATAACCAGTATCAAAATGTAGTGTAAGATAAACTAGGAATAAAACATGATCCAAATGAAGAAACCTATAAATTAAAGGAAATACAAAAAAAGACATTGTTATTGAAGATGAATAAAGATATTGTGAAGCTATCTCCTCCTCCAAAATCCACCTATAATTCTAAACCAAATCACAATTTTGGAAGGAACTTGACAAAATGAACACCTCCTAAAGACCCACCATTAAACAAGACTGCTGAGAAGCAGTGACGCCTGCTTCTGACAATGAACACTTTTGGCTTTCTGTAAGTTGTTAACTCAGCCAGGCCTGGTGGTCTAGTGGGTAAGATTCGGCACTCTCACCACCACAGCCCGGGTTCATTTCCTGCTCAGGGAACCACACCACCCGTCTGTCAGTTGTCAGGCTGCGGCTGCTGCGTGTGGCTGTGATGCTGAAAGCTACACCACCGGTATCTCAAATACCAGCAGGGTCACCCATGGTGGACAGGTTTCAGTGGAGCTTCCAGACTAAGACAGACTAGAAAAAGGGCCTGGTCACCCACTTCTGAAAAAAATTGGCCATGAAAACCCCGTGAATAGCAGCAGAGCATTGTCTGATAGAGGGCCGGAAAGTGAGAGGATGGTATAAAAAGACCAGGCAGGGCTCCACTCTGCTGTCCACAGGGGCACTAGGAGTTGGAATCCACTCGAGGGCACTAACAACAAAGTTGTTACTCACTTCAGTAAATGTTAGTTTTACTTAACTATCTTTATTAAGACTATGTGCAGGACACCTGTTCTAGTTAATTTTTTTATTGCATTTAAGGTGTGAGCTTACAAACTTTCCCCACTAGTACAGAATACAGAGTTCCTCTGCTGCACAGGATTTCTTATGTCTATAAATTGCACTTTTGGCAAAGTTTTACCACATGCACATTATGTGGAATGTTTCTCTTTTATGGGCACATCAGTGAATGAAGATTCTTACTCAAGAAGTCTTATCCACACCATTTTAGGTGGCTGCACTGCCAGATAAAGCTTTAAAGATTAAAAGTTTTGAGCTCTGAATTATAACATTGCTTTCTAATGTGGACTCCAATGACTATGAAGTATGTTGCTATTAAATCCCTCTGTAGTAGTCAGGATAGCCGAGGCAATGCTAATAACAGATAAACCACCAAAATCTCAGTAGCGTTAACACAATAAATGTTTATTTCTTACTCAAAAGTCCAACACAGGTGAAAGTGCCACCTTCCATCAATCCAGTCTGGAACAAACAGCCTCCAAGGTCACCGTGACAGGAAAGAGAAGCCTGGAGGACATCACGAGACACTCATAAGGGCCAGGCCCGGAGGTGGTTTTTATCACTTTTGCTCACACACCGTTGGCTGGAACTCACTCACATGGACCCACTCGTAACTGCAAGGGCTGTTGGGAAATGGAGTCTTCCTATGTGCCCAGGAAATAGAACCAATGATGAACCCACAGCACTGTCTCTGCCACACCCTTAAAATATCACCTCTACAGAGTTTCTCTCCTGTTTAGAGCACCTAACGGATTTGAAAACCTGAGGATGGGCTAATATTCTTACCACAGTAATTACATGGGTTTCATTTCGGAGCACATTTTGAATGTTTTTTATACAGAAAATATCTTTCTAGTAGTGACTCTCTAAAAAAAACTAAAGATTTGGGGTGGACTGAAGTCCTACTTGTACTCATCCCAATTAGAATTTCCCTCCTGGGCACACCCATTAATGGAAATGTGACCTCTAACTATTGCTACTGCCACAAACCATCCATTTGTCAAGAACCACTTACTTTGCCACCACAGCACACGACAGTTGATGGGAGCTTTGCAGAAGTTCTTGCAATCCACAATACTTTCCTGAGATGCTGAAGAACCAGCTGCTCCAGTGCTGTACACTGACATCAAGGGTGGCAGTGTCCCTGTGCTCCGCTCCCCCGGCCTTCCCAACGGCTGAGTAAGCCTCTATCATCTGGAATAGATACAGTGCCTTCTGTTTTCCTGACAGAACCCTGACTTACTATCTTTATAATGCTTCTGTCCTTTTGTGCAGTCTTTGACGAGTAAGGTCTGAGCTATGACGAAAACCCTCGCCATGCTCACGACGTGGATACTGCATCTCATCCATATGCGCTCTCTGATGAGCAAGGAGATCCGAGTTACGGCTGAAGCCCTTGCCGCATTCTTTACACTTACAGGGCCGCTCTCCCGTGTGGACTTGGAGATGAACGTGAAGATCTGAGTTCCAACTGAAGCCCTTACCACACTCACCACATTTATATGGTTTCTCTCCTGTGTGAACTCTCTGATGAGTGTGAAGGACTGAACTGTATGCAAACGTCTTTCCACACACACCGCACTGGTAGGGTTTCTCCCCGGTGTGGACCCTCCGGTGGATGTGAAGATGGGCACTCTGGCTGAAGCCCTTTCCACACTCCCCACACCTATAAGGCTTCTCCCCCGTGTGCAACCTCCAGTGGACTTGAAGCACGGAGCTCGACTGAAGTGTTTGCCACACTCGCTGCATTTGTAAGGTTTCTCCCCTGTGTGGACTCTCTGATGGACGAGCAGATTGGAGCTCTGGTCAAAGCCCTTCCCACACTCCTCACATTTATAGGGCTTCTTCCCGGTGTGCACTCCCTGATGAATACAAAGAAGGGACCTGAACCCAAACCCCTTCCCACACACCTCACATCTGTAGGGCATCTCCCCCGTGGGGACGCGGTGATGGATGTGAAGAGAGGAGATGCGCCTGAAGCCCTTGCCACATTTAATGCAGCTATAGGGTTTGTCTCCCAAGGCGCCCTTCTGATATTTGGGAAGGTCTGAGCTCTGTTTACAGCCCTCAGCCCTCTCCTGACATTCATACGGCTTCTCATCTGAGTGGGTTTGATAATGAGCAATAACATCTGAGCTTTGACTAAAGTCTTCTCTACACTGATCACATTTATGAGATTTTTCTCCTATATGAGCACCATGATGACCATGAGGATTTGTATCCTCTATGAAGCCCATTCCATAGTTATTACATTTCAAAGGTTGTGAGACTGCGTGGACCACAGTATGTTGTTGGACTGCTGATTTCATAACCAAGTTTTCCCCACAGGCGGTGTATGTACAAGATTCGTCTCCTTTACATTCTTGGGAATCACCTAGATCACGTGAGGTCCGATTGAAGCTGTCATCACACCGAGCACATCCATACGATGTCTCTTCCACAGGAATTCTCTTACATCTTCCCTGAGATTTCTGGGGCTCAGTCATTATGACGGCTTTCCTCCAAGATTCTGGGGTCTGTGTCGGGCCCTTCCAAGCCGCGCCATCTTGGTTTTCTAAATTAACGGCATTTGTTACATAGTTTTCATTTTCACAAATCTGAAGAGATGCTCCTGCCCACTCTTCACAGAGGGAGACATCTCCTTCTAAATATTGGGGACAATCTCCTTGAAGACTGGTGACAGAATCCTGACCCACAGTTAATTCACTGATCCTTTGTGTCCAAATCTGCCAACAGTAGAGCACTTCTTGCAGGAGGTAACTCAACCCTTTTTCCTGAAGATTCGAAATGTTCTTTTTAATCTCGTCTCCTGTGAGGAGAAAGAGAATTTGACTAAGGGAACAAGTAAATCATCTATCCAGAGGTTTTGAGAAAATGAAGTAGGATAGGGTAGGAAGTTGTCACTGGCTTCTATTTATATATGTAACAATTGGGACCACAGTAATTCTAATCCGTGAGCTGCCAATTAAAAAACAGGTGTTGGGGGCCGGCCCGGTGGTGCATCGGTTAAGTGCGCGTGCTCTGCTGCGGTGGCCCGGGGTTCACAGGTTCAGATCCTGGGTGCGCACCGACGCACTGTTTGTCAAGCCATGCTGTGGCGGTGTCCCATATAAAGTAGAGGAAGATGGGCACATATGTTAGCCCAGGGCCAATCTTCCTCAGCAAAAAGAGGAGGATTGGCATTGGATGTTAGCTCAGGGCTAATTTTCCTCACACACACACACAAAAAAAACAGGTGTTGTAGGGAAATCAAAAGAAATCTTGGGAAGACTTTATCAAGGAAGAAATTTACCTCCCTGCTATACGAATAGTCAATAAAAAGCCTTTAATCATTTAGCTACCAAAGGTATGGAGAAAGATTCCATATGATTCATGAAGAATATATATATATATATAAAAAATACATAATAATGGAGTGCTGGACATAGTGAGAGACACAAAGGATCACAAGGACCTTCCAAGATGCCCTATAAGATTGCAGAAATAAGCAACAAGTCCTCTTGATAATGTCCTTTCCTTCACATTACTGTTATATGATAGCAAGAACTATCATGAACGTTTGTGTACAACCTGCACAACTGTACATGGAGAGCCTAAAGCAGCAGTGGGGATTGAAATGGGCATAATATTGTGAAATACGGTCCTGAGGTTAGCGGGGGAGGCACATGTACACCTTTGAGAGAGGCTTAAAGAGACATCCTTGCTATTTTCCCCGAGGTTCTCTGGCATCCATGGGGAGAGGAAGCCCACCAAGATCCAGCAATCCATTTCCTTAATTTCTCCCCTTTTAGGTTATTGCTTCTGGTTCAAGATAGTTTCTGAGTCATCTTATTGAGAGTGACCTTAGTTCACATGGTGGTGTCAGAGAAAGGGGGACTTTGAACTACCCAGAACAGGCTTAAAGCAGTGGTTTTCCAATTGTTTTGACCGTACCTGTAATAATAAGAGCATTTACACTGCGACCCAAGTCACACAAATGGACACAGACTGTTAACTAAAACAGTCTTATCAGCTGATACTTACCTTACTAGGCGCAACGTCTTCTGATAAATTTTTTGTGTGTTCTAGTCCATTAATCTATTCTGCTTTTCAAAAACTGCTGGTTATGACACAGTAAGTTGATTTTGGGACTGAGTAATGGGGCAGCATCCTGCAGATTTAGGCCAAGGAGCCCTGCGTCTCTACTCTATAGACATAGTGGCACTCAGTTTCACAGAGTTATTAAAAACACAGGGTCTAGACTCAGATTGGGAGAGTTCTAATCCTCGTTTATCTTACAAGCTGTGTGGCCATGGGCAAGTTACTCATCCACTCTGTGCCTCCGTTGTTTCCTTCACAAAAGGGGACAAGAACAGTGGCTATCTTGCCCCAGCCCTCATGGCCTAGTGGTTAAAGTTCGGTGCTCTCACTGCTTCGGCAGCCCGGGTTCACTTCCCAGTTGTGGAACCACACCACTTGTCTGTTGGTGGCCACGCTGTGGCAGCGGCTCACATAGAAGAACTAGGAGGACTTACAACTAGAATATACAACTAAGTACTGGGCTTTGGGGAGGAAAACAAAAGAGAGAGGAAGATTGGCAACAGATGCTAGCTCAGGGCGAATCTTTCCCAGCAAAAATAATAATAATAATAATAAGGCACTTCTAATTTAAAAACAAAAAACAGTAACTATCTTATAAACCAAACTGAGGTGATACACATCTGTGTACAGACCTCCGAGAAACTGAAATTAGGTTAGATATTTGTCAGCAAGTAAGCTGACAAGGTATGCCACCTCCTACATACCAGATGCTGGTTTGGTTCCTTCAACACTAGTTTGTCCAAAACACAGGTGTTTCTGCAGAAGCAACCAAGGGACCAAGTTCCTTGGCAGTGCGTGAACTTTATCAATCTCACCCTGAGAAATATGAGGAAAGGAGGAGAGCCTAAAATGTGAGGAGGTCAGGGGGGCTTGCTAACTGCATCGGATGCCCACAGGCCTGGGGTGCGGGGTTGAGGACCGCTCTCGCACCAACAGCTCACAGAGGCCACCTGCTCACATTTATCTGTTAAAACTCACTAATTGCAGGGCTCTCATTTGCACGTGCATCTCTTAGGAGTTCTCTCTCCAGTGTCCAAGTTTCTCTTTGTGCTCCCACTGGAATATTCTATCTGGTTTGAAGCTGATCATTTAAGGAAACAGGACCAGCGGGTTGGTGCTCAGTCACAGGGGGTCGCTGTCCTCACCCACTGAGATGAGGTTCCTGAAGTTCTCCAGCATCACATCGCGGTACAGGTTGATCTGGGCCTTGTCCAACAATGCCAGCTCCTCCTCCGTGAAGACCACAGCCACGTCCTTGAAGGTCACGCCTTCCTAAAACATCGAGCACACGCCACATCCACCATCCACACAAATGGCCGCTGGGAGAAGAGCAAAGTTGAAGCTGTGCCAGTCATTAAGTTATTGTCTTTCTGCTGCAAACCCTCACTTTTAAACCACGTGCTGCAATGTTGGAGCTGGGACCCTGCCAATCACATTCTAATTTGACAGCGGGCTCCATGTGAGGCTCAGACACTGGGGGGCGCTAGAGGGACTCTGCAAGCCTAGGGGAGGACATGGAGTTGGAGCTAGTGAGCCAGGAAATACAGACACCCAACAGCCCACGTGGCACAGACACTGCAGGGAGAAGGGGTAGGAAAGGAGGCTCCCCCAGCCTACTCTTTCTCCCTTCTTAGCCTCAACGATAGTCTGGAAAAACAAAACCGCCGTTTCTCGGCCACCCTATGCAGAGATTGCTATAGGATTCCAGTACAAAGACAGTCCAAAAATATTAATAAACCAAATATATAAAGCAATAAACATGAACGCAAAAATCTTTAAATCTTTCCCTTAGCACACAGCACCATCTGTGAAGTACTCATGTAACAGCTTGAATCTGACGCTAATCAAGCATCTAGGGCCTCCACTTATAGGAAATAGTGTGGAAGGAGGAACACCTGAATGATACCAAAAAGAAGCATTTCTGAGATAACCAGGGAAATTTGACTATTGTCTGGGTATTAGCTGATACCAAAGAATTATTGGTAATCTCATTAGTCCATTTCTTTTTTAGAAATACATACTGGAATATATGGGAATATGTGATAGATTAGATTGCTATTTAGAAATATTCTCTCATACTCCCTACTTCCACCAAAGGTTGTTGTTAGTGCCGTCAAGTTGATTCTGACTCCTGGCGACTCTGTGGACAGCAGAGTGGAACCCTGCCTGGTCTTTTTATATCATCCTCTCACTTTCTGGCACTTTATCAGACAATGCTCCGCTGCTATTCAGAGGGTTTTCATGGCCAATTTTTTTCAGAAGTGGGTGGCCAGATCCTTCTTCCTAGTCCGTCTTAGTTTGGAAGTTCTGCTGAAACCTGTCCACCATGGGTGACCCTGCTGGTATTTGAAATCCCAGTGGTGTAGCATTCAGCATCACAGCAACACGCAGCCGCCACAGTCTGACGACCAATAGACAGGTGTGTGGTTCCCGGACAGGGAAATGAACCCAGGCCACGGCGGTGAGAGGACCGAATCTTAAACATTAGACTACCTGGGGTTAGGGCCCGAGTGAATGTCCTTGACCCCAGACTTTGGATTTGCCCAAGTGACTCGCTCCAGTTCTAAGCTCAGGCCTTAAGAGATCTGGCACGTTCTTGCTTGTTCTCTTGCCCCTCTGCCATTGCTCAACACGTCCAAGCTGGCCAGCACAAAGACTGTGACCACAGCAGAGGGCCACCAAATAAATACCTATCTGTGGCTGTGGCTGTGGGGCCAGGCTGCAATAGTCGAGGAGGCTGGAAAAATGGTAACCTGGGCGACGGAGCAGTGAAACGTTCTGTAAAACTGCTGCTGGCAGTAACTTAGAAGATGGAAAATGTACCTCATGAATTTGTGGCCTTGAGCAAGATGGTTTCCAGGCAGACGGGTGACAGCGTGAGCTTGTTTATTTTAGGTGCGTTTAATAAGGTCCTATAAGAAAGTGATAAGCTCAGAGAAAACCAGTACAGTATGAAATAACATCTCTCTGCATTATTCTTTGAAGTTCTTTCAAAATGCTTTGGGAGGGACTGGCTTGGTGGCATAGCGGTTAAGTTCCAAGGTTCGCCGGTTTGGATCCTGGGCGCGGACCTACTCACCGCTCATCAAGCCATGCTGAGGCGGCATCCCACATAGAGCAACAAGAAGGATGTACAATTATGACATACAACTATCAACTGGGGGCTTTGGGGAGAAAAAAGGAAAAAAAGGAAGGAAGATTGGAAACAGATGTTAACTCAGGGCCAATCTTCCTCAAAAAAAAAAAATGCTTTAGGAAAGGAAAAAAGAAAAGTGAAAAAGAGATTAATCAAATGTGGCAAAATGTTAATTGCTGAAACATTAACAATTGTTTTTAATTGTTGAAGCATGATCAGTATTATACATGGAGATTCATAGTACTATTTTCTCTTTTTGTGTATTTTCATATTTAAAACATTCTTCATGATTTAAAAAATCCCTGCTCCATCCTATGATGGTGTATCAACTTGGCCAGGCTACCATCTCAGTAATTGAAGCAAACACTAACCTAGGTGTTGCTGTGAAGATATTTAGTAGATGTGATTAAAGTCCATAATCAGTAGACTTTAAGGGAGATTATTCTAGATCATCTAGGTGGGCCTGCTTCAATCAGTTGAAAGGCCTTAAGAGCAGTGCTGGGGCTTCCCTGAGAGAAGAAATCCCACCTGTAGACAGCAGCCTCACTGCATCCAAGAGTTCCAGCCTGCCCTTCCTCACGGGCTTCCCCGTGGATTTCCAACTTGCCTAGGACTCACAATCACATAAGCCAATTCCTTATATTCGGTCTCCTAATATATATTTCCTACCAGTTCTGTTTCACATGTTGAACCCTGTCTGATACACACCCATTCAAATCTTGCTACTTACGTGGACGAGACCAGTGCTGCTCAGAGTGCGGTCACGCATATAGTGACCACACGCTCAGATGTTGTGGTGACACCAAATTGCTACAAAGTTTCTGAATTCTTCCTCTTGACATCTGTGCTTATCTCGTGTGGAGTAGCGACAAGCAATGCCTGGACTGGCATGGTATACAAACCATCTTGACATCTCTGAGCATGCTTCTTCATTTCTACAGAGGGTGTGACACCACCTACCTCACCCAGCGGTTATAACCAAGGTCAAGTGCCTGCCACATGGTAGTCACTCCAAAAATCCCTCACCTCCATTCAGAAAATGGAGATCTCCAGCTCCTCAGAATGGACAGGGCATTTAAGAGAAAGAAAGGAAACTTGAACTTACCTGGAACTTAATCATACTGTCTTCCTCTGGGAAAGGGCAGGCTCCTGAGAAGGCAGAACTGCAAAGAAGAAAGAATCCATGAGACCAGGGGCTTCACACGCTGTGAATGAATATTGGTTCCTTCTTATCTGTACAACTGTCTCCCACGTTCTTCTCTCCCAAGATATCTTTTCCTCTCTTCCTGCTCTCAATAGACTGAACTCCCACCTCCTCAAGCCTCTCCCCCTGCCGTCCTCCCAGACCCGTGTGTAACTCCTCTCTCTCTCCTCAAGCTTTTGGGTCTGCCACGTTCTTTTCCTTTTCTCAGACTTGTGAATGTATTGACATCACCTATATCCTAATTACTCCCGTGACTTTTGCAAATATTGATGACACAGCTATGACATACAAGGCACACTCTCTGCTCTGGAAACGCTCACAGTATTCTGAGCTAGAAGCTCTCCAGGACTAGTGAAGCAGACAGACAGAAACCCTGCAAGCCTGCCACTCCATATTTACTCAACTCTCTTCTCCACCCTGCTTATATCAGTGGATTCCCTGGCTCTCTACTTCGGTTGGGTTCGGCCAATGGGGAAAGCCAGTAGGAGATCAGGGAAGGGATAAAAGTGAAGTCAGAGTATTTATCCCCCAGCTCTTTCCCTGGGGGCTGCTTTGAACTGGCTGTTCCATGTCCCTTGACCAAAGGTCAAGGCGCCTGTCAGTGGTCCTCATCTCACAGTTCTCTCTCCAGGTTCTGCTCACTGCTCGCTCACTTAGCCCTTCAATCCTAGGGGCAGTGAGCTACCCGCTACGACTGGCTCTGGGACATTGTAACACCCTTTGTTAATTACCACACTCTGCCTACACCTTTGTAAACTGTCCCGTATTAAGCTCTTCTCAAGTTACCCAATTTGACCGTGCTGTTTATTTCCGGCTGGGATTCTGTCTGATAAACCTTGTAAACCCAGTGGCCTCTGGCCTTTGAGGAGAAACTCACTGCATAAAATTGCTGCTTTAGGCACTGTGGGAACCCCAAAGATTAAAACATAAAAACCAAAAACGATGTCTCTGTCCTCTTAAATAGTGTTCTCAAACTACCCGTGGTGAGAGACCAGTTTTATATTATTTTCAATCTGTTGCAGACTAATATTTTGGTAAAATACAGTAAAAAAGAAATTTCTAGAAAAAGGAAATAAAAAGGCATATAAATTATAAGCCCAATTTTTTTATTACTAGATTAACCAATCATACAATTACTAACAGTGCTATAAAAATTTTTAAACTTTTACACTCAAGTTCTGAAATTATCTGGTCACAGACCAATAATATTTAGTTCTCCAACTGTCACCAGTCTACCGGCCACGCTTTGAGTTGCATGCTCTAGCAGCTCATAGGGTTACAGATTCAGGTTAACAGGATATGAGATGTCTTTTTGACAAATCCTGGGACTTTTTTCCCTCCTTTCCTGCCTTTAAGAAAGAGCAAGAATCACCCTTATTCTGGGCTCCAACCAAGATTTGTTTAATTCCTTAGCATAGCACTAATCGTGTAGTTTTACAATACTAGTTAAAACCTACCAGAAATATTCCTCACTAACCCTGTCAAAAAAACATAAATCCTGAAGAAATAACCAAGCCTTAGTCTTTTATCTGCTGTACCTGGTAAAGATCCTGCCATTTCTCAAACACTCAATCAATCTTTCTTGACATTAACAAATGCATAAATAGAATCAGCTCTGATACATTAGACGTATGTGCAAAGACAGACACACCAGGCTCTCTTCTTCCAGAATCTGTTTTCTCCGGAGAGCCAGCCACGGGACAGGCTGAGTTACACGCACACATGGACACACACGCACCCACACGTATGTGGGGGGGGTTTGGTTTGCCCCATTTCTGCTTTCAGGGCCCTGGCAGGAACCAGATTGTACAATCAGATTTGAGTGGAGTTTAATAAGCAGACTACTTACAATGGTGTAGGCTGGGTGTAAGCAAACCACAGGGGATAAGGCATCGCCCCGGGAAGTGACAGAGAGGTGCCATTATTACGCCCGGCCTGAAGGGATGAGGGGAAGGACAATACTAGGGCCTGGAACAAAGGGCTGTGTGGAAAGGGCCACCCGACAAGATCTGTAACTTTCTGTGGAGAAGTGCAGCCAGGCTGTGACAACTCTGCAGAGAGAGAACTGGGGGAGCAGGTACTCCAACTCCCTTGTCTCCCTCTCTCCAAACTCTCCTGTCGTGACTTCCCATCGGCCAGAGCGCAATGGCAGCCTCTCGGGGCAACAGCAGGGTAGAGAGGTAGAGAGTGGAGCTGGAGGTGGGGAACCAAAGATACGCAGCCCAGGATGCCTCAATTCCCTGCTTTTTCCCCACCTGCCGAAGCCCACACAGCTCTCTCCCACAAACGCCTCTCTCACTCGCTCAGTCTGGTTATCACGCTGATCTGAGTCCCTGCAGCCCCAAGGAGGCCAGGTGCCCACATCAGCCTCTTGAGGGGAAGAGCACCGAGGGCCAGGTGCAGCTGAATTTGGAACTGCAATTGCCCAGAAACACAATCAGAGACATAAGCCCCAATCCTTCCCCAAACCCTGCTTCCAGATTCCTGGCTCTTCTCCCCAGAAGTTCTAGACGCTGCAGAACTAAGAAGAAACTAATTTGACCTCTTACAGATGTATGGAGCAGCCATGAAAATCATCTGGGGACGAGGATAAAGACTTTCTTCTGTGTGTGAGGGTGAAGGTCACGTGATCGTGCCAAAGCCGTACGTCTGTGACCCATGAGGTTCTGAGCCGAAGGACTCTACGAGACCAGCTTCAGCCCTAAGGGCCTGTGGCAGGACTGCAGACAGGGCTGTCCCTGGTCCACTCTCATTTGCCTTTGCACAAATTAGAAAAATGCACCCCCTCCTCAAGATACTTTCCTTCTACCTGTTAGAAAATTATTATAATATACTGATTGTGTTAGAACAAGGCACTCTTACGGCTACCTGCTGAAAAACTGTGCTTGTGTGTGTATATGTATTCTATGATGTGAATGGCACACCTTAGATGTGGTGTCCTTGCGTAGTGTCCAGGCTGCACAACTGTGCCCTGCAGCCCTGCCCTCAGAAAGCCTGTCCCAGACCTAAGACTAGTGAGACTTGGCTGTGTGCACATGACAAAGCCTACTACTGGCCAGTTCAAGTGGCTAGGAACTATGGGACTATGGGAAGGCTTTTCTAATGACCTTCCCATATCCCCCCGCCCATGGGGATCACTCTTCTGTGATGAGACCACAGGATCTTGTACCGACAGCCATTGTAACGCTTTTCACATGGCACTGCAACGTTTCTGGTTACTTTTGCTTTCTCTCCTGTAACTAGGGCTCCTTACGAATAGAGATTACATTATTCATGTGCATGTGGCAAGGTTGGCATGCAATAAGTGGCAAACAAATCAATGAATGAAGTCTGGGCCTTTGCCAAACTTAATTCTTAGACTGAAGAGGTCAGACCGCGAGGTCAAAGTGCAAGGAACACTGCTCATAGCTGACCCACTCGTTGAACGCTGACTCTGAGGAAGGCGGCAGAGCCTAGGTGGTAAGGCAGATTCTGCAGTCAGACTGCCTGGGGTTCAAGGCTCCGTCCTTCACTGACTGTGTGCCCTTGACCTTGGGCAAAGTGTCTCCTGATCCCTCAGCTCCTTCACGTGCACAGGACAGGATATTAAGAGAACCTATTTCGTGGGGCAGTTGTGGGAATTCAAGCAGGTCTTACATGCGAAGTGCTCAGAACAGGGCCTGGCTCACAATAAGGAGTAACAAGGGTTGGCTGTCGTGGCTGGGCTGTGGGCTGAGTGCTCCAGATATAAAGTGAGATCAGTCCTTGGTCTAAAGGTAGGCCAACCAGGCGGTGGGGGTGAGCAAACGAATTCACTGGAACCTGAGAAGCTCTGCAGCAGACATCCCACAAAGCCGCACAAAGGCACAGAGAACAGGGACTCGACACACCCCGAGCGGGTCCAGGCAGTGAGGGAAGGCTTTAGAGACACGACCGTTGAGCTGTAGCTGATGCCTGAAGAAACACGGTTCCAAACCGACAAGGAAAGAAGAGGATAACGGGCAAAAGAACAGATGTGGGAAATACTGTGGTCCCATCAAAGCACAGGAAGCACGTGGGTGTGGACCAGAACACAGAGAATCACAGGGCGGCCTGGCTACGACGAGGCCGGAAACATCCCCAGGGGCCAAATCTTGAAGAATCTTGGATGTCATGCTAAAGAGTTCCAACATCGTGTTGCTATTATTATTATTATCTTTCAGGTCTCAGTTTAGATGTTACCTCCTCCAGGAAGCATTCCTTGATAACCCCTACTACATTACGTACTGTCTTAGTTTGCTCAGGCTGCTATCACAAAATACAGCAGACGAGGTGGCTTATAAACAACAGAAATGTATTTCTCACAGTTCTGGAGGCTGGAAGTCCGAGACCAGGGTGCCAGCGTCATCAGGTGAGGGCCCTCTTCTGGATCACAGACTTCTTGCTGTGTCCTCACATGGTGGAGGGGGCAAGGGCGCTCTCTCGGGCCTCTGATTTAAGGGCGTTAATCACATTCATGAGGGCTCTGCTCTCACGACCTAATAACCTCCCAACACCCTACCCCTTAACACCATGATTTCAACACACGAATTCTAGGGGGACAAACATTCAGACCACAGCCAGTACCTACTGGGGCTGGCACCTCTCCTATCACCACCCTATCCTGTGGCTGCTTAATCATCTCCCGCCATTGGCCATAAGCTCGGAGAGGACAGGAACCGCATTCCCTCATTCATCATATACTTACTAAGTGCCTACTGTGTGCCAGGCAGTGATCAGGACACTGAAGATACAGCCGTGATAAGTGCTATGGAGGAAAAAAATGGGGGGAGGGGGATAGGGAATGAAATAGGGTGGGCAGGAAGGCTCTCACCAAAGTGATATGTGAGTAAAGACCTAATGAAGTAAGGGAGTGAGTCACACAAATATCTGTACCAAGAGCATTCTAGACAGAGGGA